GGGTGGTGGGCGGCTCTGGGTCTGTCTTCCCCAACGTGGGGCCTCTTCTCAGCACAGGGCTGTCGCAGAGGGGCCCCCTCAGGAGCACACCTGTTCCCCCTCTGGGCCTGTCTGCAGACACCCAGCTCTGGCCCTTCCCTGCCATCCCAGCAGCCCCCAGTCGGGTGGTCCCAGGCCATGCCCAGAAGACAGCCAGGCCTGGGCTCACACCCAGCTCCATCACTAACCTCCCTTCCATTTGGCTTTCTCCTTGGGTATCCCCACTACACTGTCCTCAAAGATAGGTGGTTCTGTCGCCACAGGCCCCCATTACAGAAAACCCCACAGGTGCCGTGGTGGTCCAGAGCCTTGCTGAGCTACAGTTTTCTGCCACTCTTGTGGCAGAGGCTTGCCAGAGGGACCTTCCTCCCTCCCTCCCTGAGAGCAAAGCCAGGTGGAGGGAGACTCTGCCAGGGAACTGGCTGCTTGTGGTGGGGGATATGGGCAGACCACAGTCGGCCTCATCTCCCAGTGCCCCTTGTGGTGACAGGTGCCAACACCCTTTCCTGGGGCCTCAGGCTGCCATGATGGCTCCCGGGCTCCCTGCCCCTCCCCCATGGGCCCATCCTTCTCTCAGGTCTTCGCTTGGACCTGCCTGCCTGGCTGTGACTGCTCTGGGAGCAGGGGTGGTGGGTTTGGGTTCCATAAGGTCCCCGGGTTGAACAGCTGCCAGAGAGCCTGGATTAGAGAAGACAAATGTACCCCACAGCTGTGTTCCCAGGGCCCATAATGCTTAGCTGTTAGAACATGGGGTGGCCGCTTTTGGGCTGTGGATTTCTGTATTGGGTTGGAGTAAGTTTTGCTCTTTTAGCTACTGAGGTGCCTATACAAAATCCTGAATTGCTTTTTTTTTTTTTTTTTTTTGACAGAGTGTTGCTCTGTCACCCAGGCTGGAGTGCAGTGGCATGATCTCAGCTCACTGCAACCTCCACCTCCCAGGTTCAAGCAATTCTTGTGCCTCAACCTTCCAAGTAGCTGGGACTACAGGTGCCCGCCACCATGCCAAGCTAATATTTGTATTTTTAGTAGAGATGGGGTTTCACCATGTTGGCCAGGCTGGTCTTGAACTCCTGACCTCAGGTGATCTGTTTGCCTCAGTCTCCCAGAGTGCTGGGATTACAGGTGTGAGCCACTGAACCTGGTCCTGAATGGCTTTTCAAAAAAATATGGTAAAAAGAAAAATAAAATTTACCATTGTAAATAGAATTTCCACCTTTGGAGTGTAGAGTTCAGCAGCATTAAGTGCATTCGTTCACTGGCGTGCAGCCCTCGGGACCACCCCTCTCCAGCACTTCTCACCTTCCCATACCGAAACTGTACCTGTTCAATCATAACTCCCCAGGCCCCCTCCCCCAGCCCCTGGCAACCAGCCTTCTAGTTTTTGTCTCCATGGTCTTGGCCACCCTGGGTATCTCCTGTCGGTGGAATCAGGCAGTATGCGTCTGTCCACGCCTGGCTTCTTCACTTGACATCATGTCCTCAGGTTTCCTCTGCATTGTAGCATGTGCCAGAACTTACTTCCTCTTTAAGGCTGTCTGTATTGCTTTTGACTACTGCTTTATGGTTTACACGAACAGTACAAAATATGGAAATCCTGAGATCAGTGTCTTCTTAAACTACTCTTCTTACCTCCAGTGGGGCACACTCAAGGGTCCCCAGGCAGCATCAAGCGGCCCCTCCATTTCTGCAGCTGCTCCTCCCTGGGGCAGCAGGAGTACAGTCACCTTCCTTCCAGGGAGCTCCCTCTTCCTAGTTCACGAAACTGCCGAATCTGGCCTCCTTGCAGGCCAGAGACTATGGATCCAGGGACTATGCTGCTCCCACACATTCTGCTCTGAGTCCCCACGGTGCCCAGAGGGGCAAGGGGCTCTGAGGGCTGAAGCCAGAACACGGGAAGGGTCAGGAATTTGAAAATGCCAAGACAGGAGGGAATGGAGGTGCCATACACACACACACACACACACACACACACACACACACACACACGTACATGCACATACATATATGTTATTGCGTTTTAGGTTTGGGGTACATGTGAAGAACATGCAAGATTGTTGCATAGGTACATACATGTCAATGTGGTGTGCTGCCTTCCTTTTTTTTTTTAAATCAACTTTTAAGTTCCAGGGTACGTGTGCAGGATGTACGTAGGTAAACGTGTGTTACACAGGTAAACGTATGCCATGGTGGTTTGCTGGACAGATCAACCCATCACCTAGGTATTAAGCCCAACACTCATTGGATACTTTTTTTTGAGATGGAGTTTAACTCTTGCTGCCCAGGCTGGAATGCAATGATGGCGTAATCTTGGCTCACTGCAACCTCTGCCTCCCGAGTTCAAGTGATTCTTCTGCCTCAGCCTCCCAAATAGCTGGGATTACAGGCATGTGCCACCATGACCGGCTAACTTTTTTGTATTTAGTAGAGACGGGGTTTCACCATGTTACTCAGGCTGGTCTGGAACTCCTGACCTCAGGTGATCCACCCGCTTCGGCCTTGAAAAGTGCTGGGATTACAGGAGTGAGCCACCGCGCCTGGCTCATTAGCTACTTCTTAGAAGGAGTCTTCCTCCAGTGCAGCTGTGGGTCCAGCGAGAAGTAGGGTTTACTTCAGGCACCCACCAACTGACACCATTTCCTATCTCCTTCCTCCTTTGGCGAAATCAGCCTCGGAGTTGCACCCACCCCAGAGCGTCTTTGATTCCAGCGCCTCACGCATGTTGCAGCGCCACACACACACTGGGGCTCGGTTACAAAGCAGGCGATTCTATTTCAGTTGGTCTTCCTGGGGCCTGGGATCCTGCTCTTCTAACTAGCTGCCAGGTGATACCCAGTTTGTGGGCAAGGCTCAGGAATTCCTGACTCCCGTTTCAGACCTTCTGCATCTCAATTTCTTGGAGGAAGGCTGGTTGCTCCCCAGGGCGTGCTGCACGGTGATGAGTTAATGGCTGGGTTTAGAGACTGGTCTTCCCTGGGGCAGCTGAATGGCACTGTCCTCCTGGCTTATTCACTCCCTAGGGTTGAAGCTGCACCCAGGGGCAGTGAGTCACCATAGGGAAACCAGAGGGTCTCCTCCTCCCTGCCGTCAATGGCATCTTCAACTGCTAGTGGAGAGCCGCTGTATGCAGAGGGCGGGCACCAAGATGAGGAGGGCTCAACGGTGCTGGCCCTGCTTCCAGAAAGTCCCCAAGTGGCGGGGGCGCCACCAGGGCTAAAAGAGCTAGAGGAGCAGAGGATCTGAAGGTCATTGTCATACTTCAAAAGTGAAAAGCCAGTGTCCCCTTCGCCAGGTTAGGGGAGGTTAGTGGGCCTCTGGCAGGGAGGACCCCCATGGCTCAGCTCAGAGCCGGCTGCTGGGGCTGTGTTACCCCACCCAGTTCCCACGGGCATCTCATCATGTCCCCTGTCCATCAAGGGCCCCAGCGCCCGGCTGAAAACTGCCCTCAGCTTCCAATCTTGACTTTAACAAAATTCAGGGTCCAGGAAACTAACAGTAAATTATGTTCTCTGGCTCCCTGGTGCCCGGGTGAGTCAATCACTTTCTCAGCATTTGCCTGCTTTCCTGTCATTCTGGTACCTCTGGGGATGAAGACTAGAAAGACAGCGATGACATAAGCATGCTGCTATGTTGCTGAATTCCGGGAAGGTCACAGACAGGCAGGATGGGCTTATTCTGGGGAACGAAGGTTCAGCGGGATGGCCCATGCCACGTCGGGGGCTAGGCAGTGGCAGAGCTGGGCTCAGCCCTACATCTGCTGCTCCCAATCTGACTCTAGCTCTTTGCTTAACCATTTACTCCCAGGTGCTGAGGATGTGGCCACTTAGAAGGGACGGTTTTACCAGACAGTTTTTTGGGAGGCCACAGAAACCCCGGTTTCTAAAAAGGTCCTTTGGCCTCAAACAGCCACCCCTCATCCAAGCCGCTGGTGGCACGGTCTGCTGCTCGCGGTCTGTGGAGGCCTCGCCTGGCTCTGCGTTTTGCTTTCCTTCCTCACTGAGCAGACTCTGGCTCCTGCGACTACCCCTCTCACTGTCCCCCACCTTTGCCCTCTTAGGGGGAGGCTCGAATGGTCAAACCCGGATCCTGCTTGCTTGGCGAGGTCCGCATTGTCACTGCACAGGCAGGCGGCTCCCAGACCCACTGCCTCACCTGGACCGTGCCCTCCTCAGCTGAGGCTCCTCCATCCCATTGCCCCTGAGGAGCCGACCATGCCAGGGTCAGCTCAGCCATGTTTCCGTTCCAGCCCAGCTGGTACCCAGGGTCCCCTCCCATTGGCAGCACTGGGGTTCAGATACACCACTGGTGCCACTTCCTTAGATCATCCCAGACAGAGCCACTTGCCCCGAGCTGGCCAGCAGCCACAAGCGCAAAGCCCACGGTGGTGCTTCCATTCCCAGCAACACTCAGCAGAGGCACGGACGGGACCAGCAGTCAGGCAGACCTAGATCCTGAGCCCGGCTCCCCACGGGCTTTCCCTGTGCCTTGGGATGGGAGCCCCGATTTCACTTCTAAAAATGTGGTCCTATAACTGCCCTCTTGTGGTCACTCTAATTGCTGTTACCTGCGGTCGTGAATGCAGGTCCTTGCACACGGGCTGCCCAAACGTTCCGACCCTCCCTTTTCTAGCCAACTGAGCAGCCGAAGACAGGGAGGCAGCACATTGAGGACAAGATAATCCATCATCATAGTAACTAACACAACACTCAGCTTCCTCCAAAGCTTGTTCCAAAATGAGAAGATAGGTGTTGCAGGAGGATGTGAATGTAATGAGAACCTGCAGATGTTTACCTAAAACTCAGCCCTGCTCCACCCGTCCCCCAAGATGGAGAGAAAACCTGAAGTCCAGCAGTTCAGCAAGGGGCACACACAGCATGAGTGGAGGGCCAGGGCCAGGCAAGCTGCAGCGGAAACTGCTCAGGCCAGGTTTTGCAGTCTTCTCGTTCAATGAGAAATCCCTGTGCAACTGGCCAAGTCAGTATTTTATTAAAAAACACACAAACACTTGCACAATGGTCACAGAGGCAGAGACGGAGAGGAGACGCGAGGTCTCCTTGGGCACAGGCTGACCACATAGTGTTTCTACAGGCACGCCTCGCTTCAGGAAAGTGGGTATTTCTAAGACCGACTGACAACCAGATAAATTAGGAGGGGGCTTTGTATCTTAAGGCTTCACTCCCCTGAGAAGTGAGAAGTAGAAGGGATTCGGGCAGGGATATTCACAATCCCCTCCAGCTGTGCTAAGTGGGGTGTGTCAGTACCTGAGGTGGTTCTAGAAGCAGGAAGGCCGAAAACAGAATTCCCTGGAGGCTACAGGCGCTCAGGGAGCTGGCTTCCTGGGAAAGCAGGAAGAGGGTGCAGGCCTTTCCTGGTGCCCACCAGCCTGGCAGGACTTTGGCACAGGAACACAGGTCCAGAGGCCTCGCCTGGGGCACATGTCCTCCTCTCTGCAAAGCTCCTGAGGGGCCAAGGGGCTGTGGCCTCGTCAGACGGCTGCATCTTGGGAAGGAAATGGCAGTCAGGACAGCTTGCCACGGGCGGGGCCCCCCACAAGCCACACTCCGCAGGCTTGCCTTCAACTTCTGCTCTGGGGAGGACTTGTGTCTTCCACCCAGCGCCAACTGTCACCGAGATTATTTTTTTTTGGCGGGGGGCTGGGGGCGGGGGGGACGGCGGGAGGCGGTGGTGGGGGGACGGAGTCTCGCTCTGTCGCCCAGGCCAGAGTGCAATGGCGCAATCTCAGCTCACCACAACCTCCGCCTCCTGGGTTCAGGCAATTCTCCTGCCTCAGCCTCCTGAGAAGCTGGGATTACAGGCACACGCCACCATACCCAGCTAATTTTTTGTATTTTTAGTAGAGACGGGGTTTCACCATGTTGACCAGGATCTCGATCTCTTGACCTCGTGATCCTCCCGCCTCGGCCTCCCAAAGTGCTGGGATTACAGGCTTGAGCCACCGCGCCCAGCCCTCTAGACAATTCTTATGAGTGGAATTCTGCGCTACATGGGCTTAGTGTAGGATTCCATGAGTAATGCCCTCAAATGGGAGGCGAGTTAAATAAACTGCACAGTCATGCCATGGGTTTAATGCTGCAACCCACGCAGCCGCTGAGAATTCCTAATGATGCTGGGAAAATGGGAGCTAGGTGGCTAAGCAGGAGGAAAGAACAGGTGATGAAATAGCAAAATAAATCAAGTTTGATCCTTTTAAGAAAAGCAACAGATATGAAAAAAGAAAATACTGGAAGGATAGACACTCAGTGCTACCTCTGGGTAGTGTGGTGACAGATGGTTTTTTCTTATTTTTTTTTAGAGACAGAGCCTCACTGTGTTGCTCAGGTTGGTCTTGAACTCTTGGTCTCAAGTGATCCTCTTGTCTCAGCCACCTGAGTAGCTGGGACTATAGAGGTACACACCGCTGTCCCTGGCTCAGATGGTTTCTACTAAAAATATTTTCCCACATTTTATCTGTCATTAGGAAACTTAAGAAAAAGTAGGCTGGCTGGGCACGGTGATTCATATCTATAGTCTCAGTAATTTGAGAGGCCGAGGTGGAAGGACTGCTTGAGCCCAGGAGTTCTAGACCAGCCTGGGCAACACGGTGAGACTATATCTCTTAAAAAAAAAAAAAATTGAAATTAGGCATGGTGGTGCATGCCTATAGTCCCAGGTACTCAGGAGGCTGAGGTTGGAGGATCACTTGAGCCTGAAAGGTGGAAGCTGCAGTGAGCTGTGATCGTACCACTATACCAGCTTGGACAACAGGGCAAAACCCAATCTCAAAAAAAAAAAAAAAAAAAAGTATAGTAAAGTAAAGAAAGGGAGCGGGCTGGGCACAGTATCTCGCACCTGTAATCCCAGAACTTTGGGAAGCCGAGGTGGGTGGATCATGGGGTCAGGAGTTCAAGGCCAGCCTGGCCAACATGGTGAAACCCTGTCTCTACTAAAAATACAAAAAATTAGCTGGGTGTGGTGGTGGGCGCCTGTAATCCCAGCTACTCGGGAGGCTGAGGCAGAGAATTGTTTGAACCCAGGAGGTGGAGGTTGCAGTGAGCCAAGATTGCGCCTCTGCACTCCAGCCTGGGCAACAGAGCGAGACTCTATCCAAAAAAAAAAAAAAGACACCGGGCGCGGTGGCTCTTGCCTGTAATCCCAGCACTTTAGGAGGCCCAGGTGGGTGGATCACCTGAGGTCAGGAGTTCAAGACCAGCCTCTACTAAATACAAAAAATTATCTGGGCATGGTGGCACACACCTGTAGTCCCAGCTACATGGGAGGCTGAGGCAGGGGAATCACTTGACCTGGGAGACAGAGATTGCAGTGAGCCAAGATCATGCCACTGCACTCCATCCTGGGCAACAGAGCAAGACTCCGTCTCAAAAAAACAAAAAAAGCAAGCAAGAGAAAAAAAGTTCGGCCACCTGAGGCTGAAGTGTTAGGGCATCCTTGTACATGTGGAGATGGGAATGTGAGCAGAGGTTCTGGGGTGACATCTCCCCTCTACCACCCCCTGCGCTCCAATACTACTTCTAAAGTCCCCTTGGGACACCCTTCTCAATAGCAGGGTTCGTCCCTACGGTTGAAGTCAAAAACAAGCCGCCCTCCCGTTCTTGAGAGCCTCTGTGCACAGATGACCAGAACTCACCTGTGGACTGGGTTACACAGGAGACCTTGTAGGACAGCCACATGCTTGCCATGCAGAGGAAGGTGGCCATGAAACCAAAGATCTGCAGTGGAGAGAGGGGAGAGGACGTTTATGGCCATAGGGCCAATTCCTTCGGCAGTCCTGCCTGCTTCTCATCTTTGCTTGTTCCCTTTACGTCTCTGGCCAGAAAGGAGCTTGGACAGTCATCTAACCCAACCACCTTGTCCTTGATCGGGTACAGAGAGGAAGCCCAGAGAGGCCCAGCCGCTGGCCCTGGTCCCCCAGGTTGGGCCAGGTCAGGGCTGGCAGCCAGGCCTCTCCATCTTCACTCCTGGCAGCTCCAGGGCCTGGTTTGGGTTTCCATTTACAAGCGAGCTGGGGCTAAGCCAATGGGCTTTGATTATCTTGGACAAGTGGAGAAGAAAAGGGTGAAATTTTAATTTGGGTTTAGAAAATCCGAACGTTTCCATGGTTCGTGGTGCGGTGGTGGTGTTTGCATTTCATTTGCGATGGCTTTCTGTTCTGTTCTGGCTCGATAGCCGTGGTAAGAGCCAGAAGCCGAGGCCTTTACATCTAGGTTTATGTTTGTACGTATTAAACAATATTAGACTAAACGAAATCAAGGCAGCACCCTTTCCCCTTCTCGGTGTCCATCCAGCACTCAGGTGTGAAGAAGGCTGACCTAGCCCAGCCCCCTCACTTGTAGATGAGGATTCAGGTGCGAGGAGAGACAGGTAGCTTCTTTCAGAATCACTGGGCTTTGAAGCCTGCAGGCGTTTGCCTTACTTGTGAATAACACTGACAGCTGCATGGTGAAAACTTACTGACCACTTAGAACAGAGCCGCCAGGGTGCTAGGCCCTGGGGGTGTGTCGATTCCTTTAACCCTCACAGCTCTGCTGGCTGGGTGCTAGGATTACCCGCCCCTGCTCCTCCATTTCACAGCTAAAGAAATAGAGGTGCAGGAGGTCAACTCTTTTGCCAAAGGCCACAGAGCCAGCAAGGGCCAGCTATGGGATGGGAGCCCAGGGAGCCTGGCTCCAGAGTCCATGCTTTGCCATACGGGTGCCTAGGTGTCCTCAGAGCCACACAGCAGCGTCTGGCTCACTACACTGCCACTGGTGTCCGGTGAGAATGACGAGGGGCAGCCAGCTAAGGGTAGGATTTTCAACAAGGTTTGGTTTTCTTTTCAAGCCCAGCTGCTGCTTTGCATAAACAGCTGCCCCCACCAGCACACACCCACTGCTTCCCCGGGTTCCTTTCCCTGGGCTCCTTTTGTACCAATTGTCTGCAGCACATAATTAGCCCATTAGAGCCTGTCCCGGCCTCTCATTGTTCTGCACAATTAGCACTTTATATATCATCCCGGCCCCCAACTGTCTGCGCTGCATAATTGAACAGTTTATTATATCGATACAGAATGCTATTCTAGACTACAGTGCCTTGTTTGCTAATTGTTTCATGTGTCTTGTCTCCTAAGCTAGATGACCACTTTCTTATAAGCAGGGGCCATATTTTAAAAATTTCTTCTAACTTCCCCACAGCCCAGGTTTGGTCCCAGGCACACAGACAGCATAGGATGAATGTTAGCTATAGAGGTTCCAGGGCTGAGCGGATTCCCAAACACAGTGGGAATGTCCCCATGCGGGCCCTAAAACACAGTGGGCACAGGCCTCTTCCACCAGCCTGCTCTGTACTGGGCAGGCGTTAGCTGCAGGGACAACCATCCCTCTCCTCAGCGATGGCAGAGAAAGGGGTAGAGGGGTCGGAGGGCGGGCTGTGGAAGGGCTACACAGAGCGTAAGTGTTGGGAGTTTTAGCCAATCTACAGCGACCTTCTGCCCCCATGCTGACCTTCAGAGGTGAAACTCCATCCCTCAGTGGAATTCCAGGAGCCAACCCACTCCCAGACCGAAGTCTGGAAGATTTTGGTAATAAGCGTAAATGAAGTACTGTGAGTATCACATACTGTGAGAGCTTTTCCTTTTCTCTTTTTAAGACATTGGGTCTCATTACATCACCCAGGCCAGGCTGGAACTCCTGGGCACACGCATTCCTCCCGAGCTCCTGGGGCTACAGATGCATGCTACCACATCTGGCTTGAGAGAGCTTTTCTTAAAACTCATTTTTAAAATCTTATCTGCTCATCAGTGAAGCAAATCAGTATTGGCCCACAGGCCAACAGTTAGCTAAATCAGCAATCAGATGACAGGAATCTATGAATCTTCAAAAAAAACAGTACATATGTCTGTATGTATATAAACGTATATATGTATGTATGTATCTCACAGCACTGTATTTTTGTATATTTCCATCTACTTCTATTTATGGCCAGCAAATGATCAATTTTTGCCTGAAAGATACAGGAGGATTATTTCCTGGCCTGAATCCTCTTAAAAATCAGGAATGGCAAATCCCAGACTCACCGCAGATATCTCTAATTGATCACAGTGCATTCCCCTCTGGGCCCAAAAGAGGCCACAGAATCTGTCTCTGCATAGGGCTGAGGCAGCCAACGAACAAATGATCAGAGTGGGTGTGTGAATTAAAACCTGCCTGGTCCCCTGATTGCAGTAGTGGCTGTAAAAGAGAAAGGCCAGGCTGCTGGGGCTGGGGATTTGCCGGCAGCCCTGACACTCCACCTTCTGGGACTGTGAGCCTCTGCTCACCGCTCTTTGGAGAGAGCTGATGGCTGGATGAAGGTAGGTGTTGACGATTCTGTGAAAGGAATGCTCCGGAAACCAACCCCTTTTCTTCCCCCATCAGGAAGAAAATGAGCATTTTAAATATGAATTCATTCCTAAAGGCTCCCCAAAACGTCCTCACCGCTCCGGCTACCAGTCCGCTCTGGCTGTAACTCTTGGAAGCTGCCACGATGGAGGCGATGAGGAGGAGCAGGGTACCGATTAAATAGTGCAGAAGTTCCTGGGGGCAGAAACAAAGCAAAGAAGTGGGTAGGGGGGTCCGTTCCTGGTTGGGGAAGAGAGGAAAAGAAAGGGAGAGAGTGACGCGTCCTCTACTCCCTCGCAACGCGCAGATGGGATGAGAGTGCAGTTCGCAGGCAGCCGGCGTGGGGGCTGACCAGGAAGAGGCCGAGCAAGACAGAGGTGATGCTGGGCAGGCAGGAAGGGAAGAGGATGGAGAAAGGAAGCTTCTCGTGTGAGCAGGGATAGCCACTAGCACGCCGCCACTCCTGAGAGCAGTCTGCGGACAGGGCTTGACCTCTGGCTAAAGCTACAAACAGCAGACGAGCTTCTTGCAACTTCCAGGTTGGAGAGTTAAACAAAGCTCCAGCTCTCAGAAGCAAAGTGCCTTAAAGAGATGTGTGCCCTCCTCTTCCGCTTCAGAAATTGTTCTGGGCTAACAATGTGCTGGTCTTGTGTGGCTGACCGGAGCATCTGCCTGCTCTGTGAACGGCCCCGAGTGTGGACTTGAGAGGCATTCACCCGTCAGACTCAGACTAGCACGAGGTCAATGCACCTGTGTGAAGAGCCCGTGGACGTGTGGTGCCGTGGCTTCTCCTGAGCCTTCCTGCCTTCTTTTCTTCTTCTTGTTCCCTCTTCTCATCTCCAGAAGAGTGCCCTCTGGCCAAGCTCTGCCAATGAATCCACTGGCAGGACTGGCTTCACCTTTGCTTCTCGCCTTGGCGCGTGGGTCGTGCATTTCCACCCATTCACTCATCATGATGAACCAGCATCCTTGCAGGCCCTGGATGAGACTGGGCTTTCCAGTGGCGGGGGAAAGCTTCCACCTCACCTTTCCTCTTTCCCATTAAACACCAGATCAGAGAAGAACTGAGGCTGGACCACTTCCAGGGCTTACTCTGAATCCAGAGGGCATCCATTCTCAGCTGTCTTCAATGAGAATTTAGAAATCATTCCTTCCTGAAGTTCTGTCCCTTGGGGACAGTAATTACATTTTGGAAAAGCATTCTAATTTAAAGCTGTGGCTCCTCTCAAAGCGATGTAAAGTCAAAGACCCTGGTCTCTCCCTTAGTGACTAGCAAGGAATATCACAAGATAGATCACAGAGATTTTAACTAAAGGGCAGATGAGGAACTGCAATTTCCCTACCTCCAGGATTCTCACCGATTAAGAAAGGAGAGGAGTATGACATGGGACAGAGGAAACCAACTTGAGAGAATCCTAACTGGAAGTATCTAAATACTTTCTCAGCCAAAAATGTGTGGCTGAGTTTGTCCTTCCAGCTTTCATTCCCCACACAGCCCACTCTTGGGCTTGTCCCTGAGCTTTTGTTCTCTCCTTTGCCTGCTCAGTATCAGCATCAGGGAAGCCCAAAGGAATCTGTTCTCAAAAGAAGCAGAAAAAAATGCTATAACTTTGAAAGGGGCCTTAGAACTTAGAAATAAAGGCCGGGCGCGGTGGCTCAAGCCTGTAATCCCAGCACTTTGGGAGGCCGAGGCGGGTGGATCACAAGGTCGAGAGATCGAGACCAACCTGGTCAACATGGTGAAACCCCGTCTCTACTAAAAATACAAAAAATTAGCTGGGCATGGTGGCGCGTGCCTATAATCCCAGCTACTCAGGAGGCTGAGGCAGGAGAATTGCCTGAACCCAGGAGGCGGAGGTTGCGGTGAGCCGAGATCGTGCCATTGCACTCCAGCCTGGGTAACAAGAGCGAAACTCCGTCTCAAAAAAAAAAAAAAAAAAAAAAAAAAGAACTTAGAAATAAAAAAAAATTCTCTCAAAATAACAGTGGGTAATAATGTTAAATGTGAACAATTACTCTAATCAAGATGCAGAGGTGGTCAGGTCGGATTAAAAAACAAGCAAAACAAATAACTACAGTATGTAATGTCTATGGGAGAGAGACTTTATATTCAAAGCTAAGGATATGGCATGCAAATAGCAAGCAAAAGCAAGCCAGGGTGTCTATACCTAGTATCAGACAAAATAGAGTCAGACACAAAAAAAGTTACTAGAAATAAAGAGGGATGTTTTCTAATAATGAAAAGCTGAATCCATAAGGAAGATACAACAATCATAAACGTACATGCACCTAATAAAAGAGTCAAAATACATGAAGAAACAAATGATAAAATGAAGGAGAAAAACAGACAATTCAAAAATAATAGTTGGAGAACTCAATATCCGTACTTTCATCAATGTATAGAACAACCAGGTAGAAGGTCAACAAGGAAATAGAAGATTCAAACAACACCATAAAATGACTAGACCTAAAAATCTTCTATAAAAACTCTATCCAGGCCGGGCACGGTGGCTCACGCCTGTAATCCTAGCACTTTGGGAGGCCGAGGTGGGTGGATCACCTGAGGTCAGGAGTTCAAGACCAGCCTGGCCATCATGGTGAAACCCCATCTTTAAAAAAAAACAAAAACAAAAAACTATCCACCAAAAGTATAATATACAAATATACAATGTATAAAAGTACATTATTCTCAAATGCACATAGAACACTGTCCAGGTTAGACCAGATATTTGACTACAAAACAAACTTCAATAAAGGTAGAAGGATTACAAAATATGTTTCCTGAACATAATGGAATCAAATTAGAAATCAAGAGCAGAGAGAAATTAGGTAAATACACAATCATGTAGAGATGAAACAACTTATTCCCAAATAATGAATGGCTCAAAGAAAAAAATCACAAGAGAAATTAGAAAATATCTGGAGATGAATGAAAATAAAGACACAATATACCAAAATTATGGAATACTAGTACAGCAGTTCTCAAGGGGAGATTAAATGCCAATATTAAAGGAGAAGGAAGTCTCAAATTCATAACCTAACCTACATCATCTCGGTCTGTTTGCATTGTTATAAAGGAATATCCAGGGCTGGGTAATAAAGAGTTGTATTTGGCTCTTCATTCTGCAGGCTGCACAAGAAGTATGGCACCAGCACCTGCTTCTGGTGAGAGCTTCAGGAAGCTTCTACTCCCTGAAGCAAAGGTAAAGGTGAGCAGGCATCACATGGCAAGAGGAAGGAAGCAAGAAAGAAAACGGAGGAAGGTGCCAGGCTCTCTTAAACCATCAGTTCTCACAGGAACTAACAGAGCAAGAACTCACTTACTACCACTAGAATGGCACCAAGTCATTCATAAGGGATCTGCCCCCATGATCCAAACACCTCCCACTAGGCCCCACCTCCAACACTGGGAATCACATTTTAACATGAGATTTGGAGGGGACAGATATCCAAACTACATTACACATTAAGACACTAGGAAAAGAAAATCAAACTAAACCTAAGGCAAGCAGAAGAAAGAAAATAATAAAGATAAAAGCAAAATTTATTAAGATAATAGGAAAACAATAAAAAACAAAATGAAACCAAAAACTAGTTCTTGAAAAGATCAACAAGATTGACAAATCCTTAGCTAGACTGATCAAAGAGAGAGAGAGAGAGAGAGAGAGAGAGAGAGGCAAATGAAAGAGGAAACACTACTGTACTTAGGGAAATAAAAAGGATATCAGAAATACAATAAACAATTGCGTGCCAATAAATTCAGTGACTTAGATGAAATGGACAAATTCCTAGACATGTATACTACTAAAATTGACTCCAGAATAAACGACACAATCTGAAAAGATTACAAAATTGAGTTTGAATTAACAATAAAAAAAAAAATTACAAGAAAAGCCCAGACCCAGATGGTGTCACTGCTAAATTCTACCAAACATTTAAGGAATAATTAATACCAATTCTGCACAAACTCTTTTGAAAGATAAAAGAGGAGGGAATATTTCCTAAATTATTCTGTGAGGTCAGTATTACCTTGATACCGGAACCAGATGGACATCAGAAAAAAAGAAAACTACAGACCCATCTCTCTTTTAAATATAGATGCAAAAACTCTTCAACAAAATATTAGCAAACTGAATCCACCAGCATATAAAATGGATTATACAGTATGGCCAAATGGAATTCACCCCACAAATACAAGGTTAGTTCAACATATATCAGGCCAGGTGTGGGAGCTCATGGCTGTAACCCCCATATTTTGGGAGGCCGAGGAAGGAGGATGACTTCAGCCCAGGAGTTCAAGACCAGCCTGGGCAACATCGGGAGACCTCATCTCTGCCCCCCCCCCAAAAAAAAATGCCAGGCATGGTGGTGCCAGCTACTCAGGAGGCTGAGGTGGGAGGATTACTTGAGCCTGAGAAATAAAGGCTGCAGTGAGCCATAATTATACCACTGCAATTCAGCCTGTATGACAGAGCAAGACTGTCTCAAAAACAAACAAAAATACACAGACAAACACACACAACAATAATGTAAGATACCGTGTTAACAGAATAACGGGAGGAAAAACCCATCTTATCACCTCAGTAGATATGGAAAAAGCAGCTGACAAAACCTAACACTCTTTTACAATAAGAACACTTAACAAAATAGTACTAGAAGTGAACTTCCTCAGCGTGATAAGGGGCATCTATAAAACGCTCACACCCAATGTTGTATTTAATGATGAAAGAAGGAATGCTTTCCTCCTAACATGAGGAAAAAGATGATGATGGCTGTATTGCTATTTCTATTCAATATCTGTCTAATTTATTCCGTTTATTTCTTGCAATCAGGCAAAACAATGAAATAAATGGCATTCAGATTATAAAGGAAGAAGTAAAACTATCTCTATTTGCAGATCTTGTTTACAGGATATCCTATGGAATCCACTAAAAATATATGAGAAAAATATATTGGAACTACTATTTAAGCACAGCGGAGGGCACAAATCAATATGCAAAAGTAATTGGACTCCTATACACTTGCAGTGAACAATCTGGAAATAAAATTAAGGAAAAATCCATTTAAAATGGCATCAAGAAGAATAAAATACTTAGACACAAATTGAATTTAAAAAGTTCAGGCCAGGCACAGTGGCTCATGTCTGTAGTCCCAGCATTTTGGGAGGCTGAAGCAAGAGGATTGCTTGAGCTCAGGAGTTTGAGGATGCAGGGAGCTATGATCTTGCCTCTGCACTCCAGCCTGGGTAACAGAGCAAGATCCTGTTTCAAGCAAAACAAAACAAAACAAAACAAAACAAAAAACCCACTTTTGCTATGAAAACTACAAAACATTGAAAAAAAAATAAAAGATTATCTAAAAAAATGGAAAAACTTCCCATGTTTATGGATCATAAGACTTCATATTAGGATAGAAATATTCTCCAGATTGATCTATGGATTCAACATAATTCTTATTACAATTCTAGCCGATTTTTGTAGAAATTGAAAACCTGGTTTTAAAAATCATTTGGAATTGTAATGATCCAAATCAATCCTAAAAAAAGAACAAATTGGGAGGCCTCACATTTCCTAGTTTTACAACGTACTACAAGGCTACAGTAATCAAAATAGTGTGATAATGGCCTGAAGATAGACATACAGATCATTGGAATAGAACTGAGAGTACAAAAATAAATTCATGAGTTTAATGGTCAACTGATTTCAACAAGGTTGCCAATATGATTCAATGGGGGAAAGAAGAGTCTTCAACATATGGTGCTGGGATAACTGGGTATCTACATGCAATAGAATGAAATTGAACCCTTACCTCACACCATATGCAAAAAACATTAACTCAAAATGGATCAAATACCTAAATGTATGAACTAAAACTATAAAACTCTTGGAAGAAAACAGAAGTAAATTTTCACAATCCGAATTTGGCAATGGCTTCTTACATATGATAAGAAAAACATGAGCTAAAAAAGAAAAAAATAGATAAACTGAATTTATTACAATTAAAAACTTGTGCTTTAAAGAACACCATCAAAAAAGTGAAAAACAACAGAATGGGAGAAAATATTTTCAAGTCATATAGCTGATAAGTCACTTTTATCCAGACTATAGAAAGAATTCCGCCGGGCGCGGTGGCTCAAGCCTGTAATCCCAGCACTTTGGGAGGCTGAGGCGGGTGGATCACGAGGTGAAGAGATCGAGACCATCCTGGTCAACATGGTGAAACCCCATTTCTACTAAAAATACAAAAAACTAGCTGGGCGTGGTAGCATGTGCCTGTAATCCCAGCTACTCAGGAGGCTGAGGCAGGAGAATTGCCTGAACCCAGGAGGCAGAGGTTGCGGTGAGCCGAGATTGCGCCATTGCACTCCAGCCTGCGTAACGAGTGAAACTCTGTCTCAAAAAAAAAAAAAAAAAAGCCCACAACTCAATAATGAAAAGACAAATAACCTAATTAAAAAAACAGGCAAAGGTCTTGAATAGACATGTCTTCAAAGAAAATATTAAAATGGCCAAAAAGCACATGGAGAGATAATGAACATCACTAGTCATTGGAGAAATGAAAATAAACCACAGGAAATAACACTTTACACTCACTAGAATGGCTGGAATCAGAAAGTCAGATAATAGGTATTGGCAAGGATGTGGTGAAACTGGAACCTTCATATACTCCTGGTGGGAATGTGAAACAGTGCAGCCGCTTTGGCATACAGTCTGGCAGTTCCTCAAACAATTAAATGCAAAGTGACCCTATGACTCAGCAATTTCACTCCGAGATATATACCAAAGAAAAATGAAAATATGTCCACACAAAAAACTTGTATATGAATGTTCATAGCAGCATTATTCATAATAGCCAAAAGATGAAAACAATCCAAAGATCCACTGATGATGAATGAAAAATGAAATGCAGTCTGGTCTATCCATACAATGGAATAATACTTGGTTATAAAAAGGCTGGCATGGTTGCTCATGCCTGTAAACCCAGAACTTTGGGAGGCGAAGGTGGGAGGATTGCTTGAGTCCAGGAGTTTGAGACCAGCCTGGGCAACACAGTAAAACCTTATCTCTGTTAAAAAAAAAAAAAAAAAAAAAAAAAGCAAAAATTAGCCAAGTGTGGTGGCATGCACCTGTAGTCCCAGCTACTCAGGAGGCTGAGGTGGGAGGAACACTTGAGCCTGGGAGGTTGAGGCCGAAGTGAGTTGTGGTCACATCACAGCACTCAAGACTGGGGACAGGGTGAGACCCTGTCTCTGAAAAGATAAAATGGAATAAAATACTGATACCTGCTACAATATGGATCAACCATGAAAAGATTCTGCTAAGTGAAAGATGCCAGTTACAAAAGACCACATATACAATTCCACTTACAAGAAATGTCCAGAGAAGAAAAAGTTTAGAGACAGATTAGTGATTGTTTAGGGCTGAAGGGATGAGTGGTAGGGAGGTGACAGCTAACAGGTATGGAATTTCTTTTTGAAATGATGAAAATATTCTAAAATTGACTATAGTGATGGTATACAACCTTGGAAATATACTAAACTCCACTGAATTGTACACTGGAAATGGGTGAACGATACAGCATGTGAACTGCCTATCAATGAAGCTTAAAAAAATAATAGAGTGGGAAGAAAAAGCCTGGCAACCTTGGACTGTCTCCTCAGCCCCCACTAGTCCCTTTTAGCCAGAAAATCCTCATTGAATCCTCACAACGGCATCAATACCCATCATCTTCACCTACAATTTCCTTCTGTGTTTCTTTTCCCGGCTCACACACACACAGCCATTCTCTGTCGCTTGAGAAAATAAGCACTTGAGCAATATCTACAGGCTTCCTGTAGCTGGAAAGTGAGTTTTAAAAACCAGCAGTACATCAGGCAGAGATGTCCACCAAATAGGAAATTCAGGGCAGAGGCAGCAAAGAATGGTTAAAGAGGTGAGATGGGCAGACGGGAAAAACTCCGTCAGGCCTCAGTGCGCCCGCTAGCATCCCGACTTCTGCACGCAGAGGACAGGACCAGGCTCTTACCGACAGGGGCCAGCTGATACAAGTGAGCACTCGGTAGAAGCGGAAGAGGTGGACCAGGTAAAAGGCGAGGATCATTATCAAGTCGCAAATGGTGACCACTTCAAAGTAGCTGTAGGCACTGTAGTCGGTCCACAGGGAGCTCCGCACGCAGATGAAGGCAATCAGTAGGGTGACCTGCCATATAAATACAGAGACATCAGAGATCTGCTTGTCCAAGATGGGTACCCAGAGAACAAACGACAGAAAACAAACCAAACATCCCTCTGGCAGGCCCGAGTTGAGGAACTGCCATTAATACAATACAATGGTTATTTCCACACAAACTGGCTGGAAGGTTGGAAAAGTGCAATTTCATGTGGGACACAATTTGAAAACTACATGCTGGTTGTGAACACTGATGACGGCAGAGACTGACTTTGTCCCCTATGAAGTTTGTTAGATTGTGCCAGCAGGAAGCCTCCTCAGAAGGAGCAGGAAAACTTAGGAAAATAACAAAGTGGAACCATCCCTTTCATCCGCCGGACATCCACAGAGCAAAGACTACAGCGTGATGGTGACCTGGAGTTTCCATATTAGGTCCAACTGTATGAAGTTGCCAATATTTGATGGTTTTTGGCCTACAAAGACAGCAATTCATACCTTACAGCTATCGATTGACAGAGAACAAGTTACCATTTACTGATGTCTGACATACGTGATCTCGCTAAGGCCATGCAGAACCCTGCCAGGTAGACAGAGTCATCCCCATGGTCATATGGGGAAACTGAGGCATTCAGGTTCACTCATCAGTCCAAGGCTGTCTGACTTGTAAGCAGTAGAAGTAGGATTTGAATCCAGGTCTGTCTGACTCTAGGGACCAAGTTCCCCCATGCCAGATGCATTTCTACCTCCCAGAAGTGTCAGCTCTCATCATAACAAGCTGAGAAAGGTGGACAGGTGCTCAACGGCACGGGAATCCTGTTTAAGAGGTGAGGCTGCTCCCCCCCAGGGCATGTGGCAAGAGCTCACTAAGAAATATCACCGCACAAGTGAACATGCAGAATTAACGGCCTACTACTGAATTAATAATCAGATGAATATTATTAGCAATACATGAGTACAAGAAAGCACACTGAGTGAGGGAAGAGTCTGGGTTTCTGTGAATGCCACTCAAAGAAATCCTTGTCTACTCCATGCAGGGAACAAACCAGTAACATACAGAGTTCAATGTGTGTAAAATCTTAGAATCTATTTTATTTATTTATTTTGTTTTTGTTTTTTTGAGATAGGGTCTGGCTCTGTCTCCCAGGCTGAAATGCAGAGAAACAATCTCAGCTCGCTGCATCCTCTGCCTCCTGGGCTCAAGCCATCCTCCCACCTCAGCTTCTCAAGTAGCTAGGATTACAGGCGTGTGCCACCATGCCTGGCTAATTTTTTTAATTTTTAGTAGAGATGGGGTTTTGCCATATGGCCCAGGCTGGTCTCAAACTTCTGAACTCAAGTGATCCACCTGCCTCGACCTCCCAAAGTGCTGGGATTATGGGCATAAGTCACTGTTCCCAGCCAGGAATCTATTTTAAATGCACAACCAATTTAGGAAAAAGATGATTATTTTATATTGCCTCTTTCGTATAGAGCAGTGTTTTTGTTTTTGTTTTTGTTTTTGTTTTAGATGTAGTCTTGCTTTGTTGCCCAGGCTGGAGTGCAGTGGTGTGATCTTGGCTTACTGCAACCTCTGCCTACCAGGTTCAAGCGATTCTCCTGCCTCAGCCTCCTTAGTAGCTGGGACTATAGGTGCGTACAACTATGCCCAGCTAATTTTTTGATGTTTAGTAGAGATGGAGTTTCACCATGTTGGCCAGACTGGTCTCAAACTCCTGACCTCAAGTGATCTGCCTGCCTCAGCTCCCCAAAGTGCTGTGATTATAGGCGTCAGCCACCGTGCCTGGCCAGAGCAGTGATTCTTAAAAGTGTGTGAGAGTGTGTGTGTGTGTGTGTGTGTGTGTGTGTGTGTGTGTGTGTGGAGGGGGCGGTGTATACGTATGGGCGTGCGATTTTGTTTCCTATGGCACATTTGGCAATGTGTGGATACATTTTTGGTTTACACAATTTGCAGGGTTAGGAGGTTACTACTGGCCTTTAGTGGGTAGAGGCCAGGTTGCTGCTAAACACTCTGCAGTAAATAGGATAGCTCCCGTAGTAAAGAACTACCCAGCCCCAGCCCCAAATGTGGCCCCTCAACTTCGGTACTACTGCTGAAATACTCCGCGATAGAAAATGTCAGTCTACAGTGAGAATTAAATCACAAAATGGGGGCTGGTGCAGTGGCTCACGCTTGCAATCCCAGCAATCCCTGCCAACTCCCAGCTATTCCGGAGGCCGAGGTGGGTGGATCACCTGAACCAGGAGGCCAGCCTGGGCAACAAGCCAGACCCTGTCTCTACAAAAAATACAAAAACCAATCAGGTGTGGTGGCATGCACCTGTGGTCCCAGCTACTTGGGAGGCTGAGGTGGGAGGATCAATTGAGCCTAGGAAGTCGAGATTGCAGTGAGCTATGATCATGTCATTGCACTCCAGCCTGCAAGACAGAGTGAGACTCTGTCTCTAAAACATAAAAATCAAATCAAATCAGAAAATGGATCTAACTCCAGTTAAAACGGTTGATGTTGAAATACTATTTTTTCTTTTTTTTTTTTTTTTGGAGGCAGAGTCCTGCTCTTTTGCCAGGCTGGAGTGCGGTGTCGTAATCCTGGCTCACTGTAACTTCCGTTTTCCAGTTTCAAGCAGTTCTACCTCAGCCTCCCGAGTAGCTGGGATTGCAGGCATGCACCACCACACCTAGCTAATTTTCTGTGTTTTTAGTAGAGACGGGGTTTCAGTATATTGGCCAGGCTGGTCTCGATCTCTTGACCTCGTGATCCGCCCACTTCGGCCTCCCAAAGTGCTGAGATTACAGGCTTGAGCCATCGCGCCCGGCCAATGTTCTTACTTTCTAAAGCCCCTTGTTGCTAGCCCTCTAGCAAGATCCTCAGCAATAGGTACAATGGCTAAAAGAGAACCCTCAGCTGGAAGCTTGAAGTGAGCATGGAGAGTGCTCTGCTTACCAGATCAAAACAGAAGAGTGTGGCTCTGACACGCAGAGTCCCCCAGCATTTGTGTATTTCCCTTTACTAATGAGTAACACACGTGTTTTCGTTTTCTCTGTTCCTCTGAAGCTAGCCAGCCATGGTGATACGATGATTCACACCTCTGCCTTACTCAGGAGTGTGCATCAGTCTTACTTCCCGGCCACATCTGTATGGGGGAAGTCTAGGGGTCTTCCCAGCCCTCCCTGACCTCCTCATGAACTCAAGTATTTTTATTCAAGGCATGACTGAAAATGCAGATAATGTAAGATTATGCAGTGCGATTCCTAGGTAGAGAGGCAATTTTGCATCTCATATAATGCAAAAATTAAAATAATTTTCCAACTCTTCGTTGGAGACAAAGTTATCTCTTTTTCATGGTGACACAGGGTTGGGAGCGTGTGCAGGTCTTCCAGCTCCTAGCTGCCAGGGCTGAGCAATGTGGAGTAGGAAGTGCATTCCTGCTCTGTCAGAAATGTCTCAAACCTCTCTGAGAAACTTGCTCATGAAATAAGACTTCCTGAATTCAGTTCAGTTGGCCTATGGCTGTCTACCAGATGCTCTTCTTTAGCAAAGCCCGATTTTAGAAAATCTAACTAAGCCAGAGCATGGTGTGTGCTTATGTGTGCTCCTGAAAGCTTCCTTTTTTCCCAAGGATTCATTCATTCTGACTTCAAATAGCCAGCACATTAAATTTAAAAAACAACAACAACAACAACAAAAAAAACACAACGATTTGACCGACACCAAACTTTTCAGAAATTCTTCTAAAGCCAGTAGGTAACTTCTGCAAATGTTGGGTCCCCTTGAATTATTCAGAGACTTAATACCTGGGTGACAAAATAATCTGTACAACCCCTTGAACTACACGAGTTTACCTATATAACAAACCTGCACATGTACCCCTGAACTTAATATACAAGTTAAAAAAATAAATAAATAAAAGGAAAGGTGAAGCAGAAGAAAGGAAGAGAGAGACAGCGGCGGGGAAAAGGCGCCGGGGTGTGTGTCCCTGCCCTCCTCCCGCCAGCTCCAGCCCTCCTCCCGCCAGCTCCAGCCCTCTCAGGAGCTTCATGTGCCCCGTTAGAAAAGCAAATGAACAAACACGACTGAATTCAGAGAGGACTGAAGGTCAGGGTTCTGGCCACAGGACAGAGATGAGGTTGGGAGCCTCCTGGAAGACGGATGCTTCTCTGTAGTCCCTTCAATGTGATGCTGTCCAAAGGGTTCACTTGCCTCTTAAGGAGCCTTCTAGCTCCTCTCGTAATAATTTGTTATTTTATATTGAACTGTCATGAAAATAAAATATCTAACATAAATGTCTAGGGGTTATTTTATTTTATTTACTTTATTTTATTTTATTGAGATGGAGTTTTGCTCTGTCGCCTAGGTTGGAGTGCAATGGTACGAGCTCAGCTTACTGCAACCTCTGCCTCCTGGGTTCAAGTGATTCTCTTGTCTCAGCTTCCCGAGTGGATGGGACTGCAGGTGCGTACCACCATGCCTGACTAGTTTTGCATTTTTAATAGAGACGGGGTTTTACCATATTGGTCAGGCTGGTCTCGAACTCCTGACCTCAAGTGATCCACCCGCCTCAACCTCCCCAAATGCTGAGATTACAGGTGTGAGCCACCGCACCCAACCATGTCCAGGGATTTAAAAGTAACACTGCAAGAGCCCTCAACTCAAAGCCAGGGTTCCACAGACCAGCCATGACACCACAGAGTTAGAATTAGAATTCCAGATTAGAAGCATCACTCCCCAAAATCTGTGTCCATTCTGACTCCGAATTCTTACTAGAAAGAGGAGATGAGTTTTTTGAAGGACCAGAGAGTTAGAATTTCACAAGAGATGAAGCAAGCTGACATGATCTGAGAATGGTGATGGTCCCCCGAGCACTCTGGGACCAAACTCGTCTGGTTGCAGTTTGAGTGTACACCCGCAGCCAGCCAGGTGCCGGAAAGTTTGCCCAGGTTCTCAGCCTGGCTGAGCATCCTTCCAGAAAGAGATGAGATTTTGATGTCTAAGAAGAAAAATCTCTAGAGAAAACTCAAGAGGCAGTTTTCAG